TTTATACAGAGAGGAAGGGAGAGAGAGAGTTAGAAACATCGATGAGAGAGAGGCATCAATCAGCTGACTCTTGCACACCCCCTACTGGGGATATGCTCGCAACCAAGGTACATGCCCCTGACCGAAATTGAACCCGGGACCTTTCAGTCCCCAAGCCGACGCTCTATCCATTGAGCCAAACCGGTTTCGGCTTTTTCCATTGATTTTTAGAGAGAGTGGAAGAGAGAGGGAAAGACAGAGAGAAACATCAATATGAGAGAAACACATTGAGTGGTTGTCTCTTGCAAGGAGCTGGGGCTAGGGCGGAGCCTGCAGCCAAGGTACATGCCCTTGACTGAAATTGAACCTGGGACCCTTTGGTCCGCAGACTGATGCTCTATCCACTGAGCCAAACCAGGCAGGGCTGCAACCTGTTTTGGTGATAAGCTTCCACATCTCCTCCTGTTGATGTCTCAGGGAGATGGGATTCTCTCCATTATAACCTCTGGCCTACACTTGAGCCCCTGAGCTCAATTGGGGGGCTGGGAGAATGGCAGGAGAAGAGCCTCATGACCCACAGATCCAGAGGCGATGTGGGCTGGGACCCATTAGGGTGTGGGACACCTCATTCCTCAGTCACCTGTTAAACTCGGAGGCACTTCCTCAGACCCAGGAACCTGTGGGGAGTGCCAGACGTTAGCCCCACTGGGTGGCTCAGTGGCTGAGTGTCCACCTATGAACCAGGAGGCCACGTGATTCCTGGTCAGGGCCATGGTCTGATCCCCAGTGTCAGGCATGCAGGAGGCAGCTGATGAGTGAGTCTCTCTCATCATTGATGTTTGTATCTCTCTCCCCTCTGCCTTCCTCTCTGAAATCAATCCTATATAATAAAAGCCTAATATGCTTAGTGTCTGACCATTCGACCATTTGTTGGACCAGTCACTATGATGCACAGACCACCAGGGGGCAGACGCTCCAACTGGTAGGTTAGCTTAGGAGTCTGGCTGGACAAAATGGGCTGGGACTCCGGTAGAGTTCCTGACCTGGGCTCGCAGGCAGCGCTGTCCCGGCCCCTAGCCCACCCCCATGCGCTTTGTCAGTCACCGCTCAATTGAGCATCAGAACCGGAAGTCCCGCCCCAAGGCGATTTGTCCAAATGGAAATGCCCTTTCTGGATTCCCAGTAGGTTGACGCAGCTGCCGCTCAACGCACAGCTTTCTGGGTAATGTAGTTCCCACAGCTACTCAGGGCCTGAAGCGCCAGGACAAGATGCCCAGAGACATGGTGAGGGATGAGACGGGGGTCCACTGGGCACTACCTCAGGCCAAGGAGGGGCTTCGCTCTTTCTCAAAAGGGAAAGAGGACAACTTTTGGGGAGTCGTGGGGGCTGTTGGTCACGGAAGTGTCTATGCATTATTTCAGAGTCAATGAAGCTAATCCAAGTGGACACCCACTGGTAGCTGGTAGTTTATTGCTTGAAGGTTAAACGTCATCACGGATCATACATCATCAACCAATATCCATGATGGGTACACACTTCTCGTAAGGTGATACATACCTTGGCTTTGGGAACAGTAACTAGTTCTTTCTTAGTGAATGTATTGCGGTGACATTGGGTAATAAAAGGTATATAGGCTTCAGATGTACATTCTACAGCATTCGTATTATATTGTGTTCATCACTCCTAGTCTCCTTCCATCACCATTTACCCTCTTCTACTCGCCCCCTCCTTTTCTCTCTGATCATCACCATCCTGTTCTCTGTCCATTGGCATCCCACCAGCGTGCAGCACAGGGCGTCTGCAGTACCATCAGGGGCGGGGGTCTGAGGGCTGAGCCCAGGGAGATGCGTTGTGATTGTGTCCTGGTCTCTGGGCTCCGAAGCGTATCTCTGGTGCTCCTTGCTAGTCTGGTTTTATGCCCTATGACCTGAGGCACCTGGGCCCTGGGCAGGCCCTCCTCCTCCGAGAGAATGATGGCCTCACCTTTTGGCTGCTGCAGGGGCACCACCGCTGTGTGTGTCCCTCACTAGCTGCCAGGATGTTGTCAACCAGCATGGCCCGTCTCTGTGTGCTTACCAGGCTCACCTGCCCAGCAGCACCTGCTTGTCCATGGAACCCAAGAAAAAAATCTACTACTAAGGGCTCCTCGTGACTAACAGTCAAAGTGAAAAGCAGAGCCTTGCCAACTAGTCGCTCAGAGGTTAAACATCAACACATGAACCAGGTCACAACATGATTCTCATTCAGGGCAAGTGCTGGGGTTGCTGGTTTGATCTCCAGTGAGAGGTGTACAGGATGTAGCCAATCAACAATCTTCTACCATTGCCATTTCTCTCCCCCTCTCCCCTCAAATCAATAAAAACACTTCTTAAAAATAAATTTTAAAAAATAAAAGCAGAGGGGCCTTTCATGCAAAATGTGCTTCAGAGAAAAGCCTGAATTGACTTTCCTGCACTCTGCCTCTGAGCCAGCCCTTACATAGTAGTTTCTGGAATTATGTCTCAACCAATAGGACGGAGGCTCCCCACAGCCAATAGAAGCTGTGCAGCTATATCCACAGCACCCTCACCCTTTCCACTCAAGACTTCCAGCTGGAACCGAAACACACCAGCAGGTGGAGCCCTCCAGCAGAGCTGCTGGCTACTGGCTGGAGGCTGCCTCGCCCAGGCTTCCCTCATTGCTGTGCAGTCTACATCGCGCTGGCTCACATCCCCTGTGCTGGCTCACATCCCCTGTGCTCATTTCAATTCAGTTATGCGTTTCTTGGGCTTTGATGGTGTAATTCTATAGTGCTAATATAAATCAATGGAAGCTGAACCCATCTTCCTATTTCCCGGTCAAAACCAGCCATGCCAGGTAGGCAGAGTGGCTCAGTGCTTGAGGAGATAACGACTAAATTCCCAGTTAGGGCACTTGCCCGGGTTGGGGGCTCAATCCCCAGCATGGGTTGAATAGGAGGCAGCTGATCAATAATTCTCTCTCATCATTGATGTTTCTCTCCCTCCCCCCATTCCCTTCCTCTCTGAAATCAATTAATTTAAAAACATGAATAAAGAAGAAACCAATCACATTGGTGTTCCCCACCTCTGGGGGCTTCAGACTGATCCAGAAATTATGGAGGCCCCTCTTGGCGGAAACCCACTTGGCAATCAGCTGCAGCAGCTTTTGGTGGTAGCCATGGTACTTACCCCTGTGACCACAGGCTGACCGGGAATGCAACTCCCTCACTCAGGTCAGCGGGAGGCAGTGGTGGAAGTCATGCAGAACCTTTGTGGCCGTCATTGGAAGGAGCCCAGTTGTAAAGGTCCCTTAAGGACCAGAGAGCAAGTCGGATTGCCACCAATAGCAGCAACTCGCTCCATGTCATTTGCTGGAACGTAACTTCTGGTGAACAATTTGTGGTCTTTGGTGCAGCATTAGTTCCACCATCTTCGGAAATGCCATGTTTGTCATCTGCAAAATCCCAGTAACCCGCCAGCTGGTTTGGCTCAGGGATAATGTGTCAACCTGCGGACTGAAGGATCCCGGGTTCGATTCTGGTCAAAGGCACATGCCTGGGTTGCAGGCTCAATTAGAGGGAGTCTAGGAGGTTGCCAATCGATTCTCTCTCACCATTGATGTCTCTGTTTCTCTCTTTCCCTTCCTTTCTGAAATATTTTTTCAAGATTTTTTTTAAAACATTAACTATTTGGAGGTATTAACTGGGCCACTACACAATTTCAATAATCCCTCTGCTCAAATGGGCTTCTGTTAATATGTACATAATGCTAACATTAAAATAAAAGTCCTTTTCCTCAGCAGTGTGTTTATTCAGGAAAAGCCAAGAGCTGTCATTTGGGAAGGAGAGAAATGTGATTGGAGGGTGAGGAGAAAGTTGGGAGGGGTTGTTTTAGAGAAAAGTGAGAATTTTTAGAGTGAGTGTTTCTCATAGGGCGAGTGGCTGGAATAGCTAATTCATTGAAGAACATGCATTTACACAAATAGCCAAAAAGTTGGAAACAAGTCAATGTCCTCCATGAAATGTAAACATTCATAGACAGAATAGTATTCAAACAGAAGGAATAAAGTGTGACTGATGTGCATAAACCTCAAAAGTAATACTATGAGCATAAAGGAAACAGAAATTTAAAACCTTTGAGAACAATTCATGACACGAATCATATAAAATTCTATAAAATACATAATCTGTGAAAGAAACTAACATCAAACCCTCTTGCTGAGAGCAGAGGGAGAGACTTAAAAAGGGCACACGGTGAGCGTAAGTGGTGGTTATGATTATGGCTGTTTGAGGGACACAAGCCAACATGAAGCAATGGCCACAGGTGCAGCCCCAACGCGTGTCCATGCGTAGGAGCCCCTCAGATGGACGTGTGGCTCCCCGGCACTGCTTTCCATTCTGATCCTCCGAGCAGCACAGCCCGCCTCTGGGGCTGGAAACCCGGACGTGGGTCTTTCTGGCCGGCATGGACCGTTTCCCAGCTGGTCACAGAAGCAGGCTGCCCTGGACTCACTCCTGTCTGTGTTTCCTTCTGGCACAGCAGCACGCTCAGATGGGACAGAAGCATGCTCAGACACGACTGCAATAACCAAACGACCAAAGCTGCATCTGCTGCCGACGACGTCACTACAGGAACTCGTCCCCAGTCTTCTGCCACGGGAACAGGCATGGAGGGCACACCCTTCCTTGTTGCCTGATGTCTCACCCAGTGTTTTCAAACCAATGGTTTCAGCCCAGCCCCTGCAGTCCTACAGCCACGAACAGCAGTCAACCCACTGGAGACATGAAGGCACAGGACCCCTCTGTGCAGCGCCTGGGAAGCAGCCTCCTCACAATGGTGCTCGGCAGATGGTGTGACTGCCCGGGGAAGGCAACCGACTGCACCTGTGGAAGCACCAGAGATTGTCACAGCCCGGCCTCCTGCTCTGGGCTGGCCTCCAGGGTGTAAGTGAGGACCACAGAGTGCTGTCCGTCTCTCTCAGGAGGCCTGGGAGAAGGGTAACCCTTCTTTTCCAGACACTATTACCTTAGCCAAGAAAACTGAGTCCAGATTATGTCCCTATTCGTCAGAAAAAAAGAAACATCCGAGGAACCTCGGAGTGGATGGCAGCAGGGTGTGATGGCGTGGGAGGGATGTGAATTCAGGCAAAGAAAGCAGCGGAGTGGGAACAGGTTTCCCCAAGCACCTGGACGAATACATGGGGGAGGACCGCCCTGCTGTGGACACTGAAGCCCATAGTTCACCATCACAGAGGGCTTCCCAGCAGGAAGTAGCATGTTCCCTGAGGTGCGACTCAGGCTTCTCCCGTGTGAACTTTCTGGGCCAAACAGGTTAATATCTTTAAAGAATCTCTGGGTTAAGGTGTCATGTTCAAGTGACAACAGAGCCGTGGCCGACATGTTGCCCAAAGTCACGGCACATTCCTGAGGTCATCTGGTATGAAGTTTTCTGTGTTGAATGATGTGGGAGCTTTGGCTAAAGGATTTCCCACACTCCCCACACTCGTAAGGCCTTTCCCCCGTGTGAACTCTCTGATGCTGAATGAGGTTGGACTTTTGGCTGAAGGATTTCTCACACCCGTTACACTTATAAGGCCTGGCTCCCGTGTGTATTCTCCGGTGTTGGTTGAGAGTGGAGCTGTGGCTGAAAGATCGCCCACAATCCCCACACTCGTAAGGCCTTTCACCAGTGTGAATCCGCAGGTGCTGCACGAGTTTGCACTTGTAGCTGAAAGACTTCCCGCACTCGCTGCATTTGTAAGGCCGTGCCCCGTTGTGAATTTTCTGGTGCTGGACAAGGTTGGAGCTCTGGCTGAAGGAGTTCCCACACTCGCCACACTTGTAAGGCCGGGCTCCCGTGTGCACGCGCTGGTGTTTGATGAGTGTGGAGCTGTAGCTGAAGGACTTCCTGCACTCCCCACACTCGTAAGGCTTCACCCTGTTGTGGATCTGCAGGTGCTGAACCAGCCTGAGTTTGTACGTGAAGGCTTTCCCACACTCGTTGCACTTGTAAGGCCTGGCTCCGGTGTGAATCCGGTGATGCTGGATGAGGTAGTAGCTTTGGCTGAAGGATCTCCCGCATTCGTTGCACACGTAAGACCTCGCTCCCGGGTCAAGCACCTGGCCATTGCAGACCGGGGAGCTCTGGTGAGAGGGTTTCTCACCGTCATCACAGTCATGACTCTGCGGGGGAAGCTGCTGGTGCTGAAGGGGTTTGTGCTCGTGGCTGAGGGGTGGCTGGTAGTCAATCCCGGAGCGAGGGCTCTCCCCGCTGTGCAACGCCTCCCCATCCCCACACTGGACGCTGCTGGGGGGCTGTGGCCCCCTGAGGGAGGCCTGATGCTGCAGAAGACGCACCATGGCCAGGAAGTCCTCCCCGGCGGCCCCGCAAGTGAGGGCAAAGGGGTTCGCCAACGCGTGGCACCCGTAGCTGGACAGGAGCGAGGCCGTGTCCACGGCGCCCGTGGCGCCCCAGAGCGGCTTCTCGTCCCTGGGCTCCTCACGCACGCCCGCGGTGAGCCAGGGCTGCCGTCCACAGGCCTCACAGGCTCCTGGGAACTCCGTCAGGCACAGCACGTCTCTCCCGACCAGGACACACTTCTCACAGGGGCGGGCCTCCCAAGTGGCTGGATCTGGACTTGGCGTCTGGCCCAGTGATTCCCGAGAGACAGGAACATCCCGCACAGCCGCCTCCGCCGCCTCCTCCTCTTCCAACTCCGCCTCCACCTCCGCCACCTCCATCCCCCACCAGCAACCTGGATGCACAGAAAGGCTCTGAGTGCACGCTGACCAGCGGAGGGAGCAGGCCCATCACAGACGTGTGTGAGGGACACCCCAGAACTGAATGCAGTGGACTACATTCAGCTTGGTGAACGGGGCTGCTTTGTACTAAGGATTGGAACTCTAAAAGCCCCAAGAATTAAGGGAGTCACCGAATGACTCCTCTCTTATGGCCCACAGAAAGGAAGCAAGAGGGAGGGAAACATCAATGATGAGAGAGAATCACTGATCAGCTGCCTCCTGCACGCCCTGCACTGGAAATTGAGTCTGCAAACGGGGCATTCGCCCTGACCAGGAATCAAACCGTGACCTCCTGGTTCACAGGTGGATGTTCAACTTCGGCACCATGCCAGCCGGGCTAGAGATTGTTTTAAAGATATGTGCAACCCTCCCAACATCACATCAACTCTAACAATGGGCACCAGAGGATCAGAGTCAGGGTAGAATGAGACGGACAGAAATGTCAAGGGGGACGGGCAGGCAGGCAAGCCGTGGGGCACAGACAGGTCCCAGTGTGATCTGAGCACAGCCTCCTGCTACGCCCTCCCTGCTGCCATTCACCGTCATGTCCATCATGGAGGCACCTAAGGCAACCAGTGAGGAACCAGCACTGGCCCAGAGCAATTTTGAACATAACAGACAATAGGCAACAAAGGTCAGAGGAATTTTGTTAGAACAACCCCTGGGACGTACCAGTGACAACACGTACGGGCACAGATGGGAAATTAAAGGTGGGAGAATGGCCTGGAAGGCTATCCAGCCAGGGAAGGCAGGGACGAGAGCAAGGTCAGCTGAGGGAGCGTTCTGGGCTGCAGGTTCGCAGTGAGTCTACCTGGGCAGGGAACTGGGAAAAAGGTCTCACCACGAGAAGAACAGTGCACCCTGGGAGAACAAGCACAGGTGGGGTCTCCAGCTGGTACTGGGAAGAGCAGGGAAAACACTGTCCAGTATTGCCTGACGCCAACGCAACAATACTGAAGGCCAACTGCAACTGATGAGGTGGAGCCCAGCGACGTGGTGGTTGAGAGTCGACCTATGAACCAGGTCAGGGTTCGATTCTGGTCAGGGCACATGCCCAGGTTGTGGGCTCCATCCCCAGTGCGGGGCTTGCAGGAGGCAGCTGATCAATGATTCTCTCTCATCATTGAGGTTTCTTTCTCTCTCTCTCTCTCTCTCTCTCTCTGTCTCTGTCTCTGTCTCTGTCTCTCTTTCTCTCCCCCAGTGCCCCCTTCCTCTCTGAGATCAGTAACAATCTTTTTTTTTTAAAAGAGAGAGGAGTCTAACTGGGCACTGGGTGGGTGTGAGGACTCACCCAGTGAGGTCACCAGGGCGAAGTTCTCCAGCATCACGTCGTGGTAGAGGCATCGCTGCGTCTCGTCCAGGAGCCCCCACTCCTCCCAGGAGAAGTACACGACCACGTCCTCGAAGCTCACACGGCCCTGCCACGAGGTAGAGGGGAAGCTACTACCAACCTCCGTCCTCAGGTGAATGGCCACTTGGCGAGCTTTTACGTCCCCCACACGCACATCGCTTCTCCTCTGGTGACCCTCCCATCCCACCCCCGGCCCGACTGCCACGGCCACTCCGGCTCCCCATCACCTGCTCAGGGCAGCTCCCCCTCCCCCGCCCCCGCAGGGCTGGCCCTGTGGGTGTCACCCTGAGCGCCTGGCGGTCCTGGGTGCCCCGCCCCTGGGCTTTAGGGCTTGCTGAGGGCTTGCTGAGGGCATGCACTCACCTCTGCCAGGCCCCGCGGCGAGGCCGCTGCCATTGTACCCTGAGCACCGAGGACAGCGGCGCCCGCCCCGCCTCCTCTGTCGGGTCTTCGCACCCAGCGTCTCCGCACAAGGAGCCGTCACCAGGAGGATGCTGCCGCCGGCCCGGGCCCGGGCCCGTCATTGGCTCCACCAGACGCCGCTCCAGCAGGGCTTTCTGGGCGACGACGTTCCCACAGCTCCCGAGGCCCCCGTGCTGGAAGCTCCTGGAACGGACAGAGGGGAAGCAGCAGTGCCAGGGGCGTCCAGGCTGCAAGGGCAGCTTGTTCTTAAAGGGCCAAGCCCAGCCTCCTGGGGAGCTGCCAGCAACGGATCGCTTATGTGTTTGGAGACAGGACTTCAGACACCAGGAAGTACCCCATGTCTCCCAACTCCTCTGTCAGCCATTCCACAGTCACAGAGCCCATCACACAGCCAATCTCCGACACCCAACGCTCTCGCGTCTGTGTCTCTGGAGCTGAGCCTCTGTCACCTGGGTGTTATCCCCACTTGGTCGCCAGACCAGCCAGAGGATGGGAGGGCGGGAGGGTTTCTCCCTCCCCCACAGGCGACAACAGAAACGGAGCGAGGCAGCACAGGTGCTCACCAGTATCAGGATGCGCCTGTGGCTCTGGCTTCCCAGGAAGGTCCGACCGCAGTCCCGTGCTGAGCGCAACCGCGTTCACTGCTTAGACCTGTCAGGCAGGACACAGAGCCATTAGTCCACGCAGGAGGCCAACACGTTACACAGAAATCAGATGCTGACAATATTTCCTGCATCTCTCCGTTCTGTCGGGAATATTCCAGGGAAATGTGCGTGTCACTCTCACAAAGTGTCAGTAGCTACACCAAGAGCTTCAGGGCCCAGAGGAGGACAGAACAGGAGCTGAGGTGCCGAGACAAAGGCATCAGCCTACAACCTGCTCAGGAGGCCGTTCCTGCGGGGACAATACCATGCCATTCCGTGTAATTCTCTCATCGCTGATGTCACTGTCTCCCTCCCTATCCCTTCCTTTCTGAAATGAATAAACTATATCAAACAACAACAGCTGAGCAATGTTATAAAGAACAAATTAGGGAGGGGAAGATAAGAGACAAAAACAAACACTCAGTGACCCACAATCTATGGGACACAGCCAAAACAATTCTGAGAGAAAAATCAGATAGCAATATAGGCTTTACCTCAAATAACACACACACACACACACACACACACACACACACACTACACTACACTAATAAAAGAGAAACATGCAAATTCACCATCACTCCACTATGCCCACCTGCCAATCAGAAGGGAATATGCAAATTAGAAGAAAGATGGCTGCCACCCAGCTGCTCCAGATGGGGAGTGGCCAGATGGGCAGGATGCCTGCTATGAGAGGGAGGGGGTTGGGGGAGGAATAGAATCTATAGGAGCAGTACTCTGGCCAGAGAGAAAACGAAGACTGCAGACTCCGGAGTCTGCAGCAAAGGCCTGGGTCCCAGGTGCCAGAGGAAAACCGGTGCTGGGAGCCAAGGGAAGGAAGGCCTATTGCACGAATCTCTTCGAGCAACAGGTCTCTAGTCAATAAGTAAAAGAATAAAGGTCAGACTGGAAGTAAACAAAACAATCTAAAACATACAAAAGTTTAATGAAAACAAGAGGTGGCTCTTTAACAATATAAACAAAATTGATAAACTAACCAGATTCATCAAGGAAAAAAAAGAGGACTCAAATAAAATCAGAATCAAAAGAGAAATGATAATGACATCACAGAAATACAAAAGCATTGTAAAAACACTAGATGCCCAATGCACGCAATTAATGCAAGAGGTCTTCCTCACCCTGGCTGCTAGCACCAGCTTCCCTCTGGCACCTGGGACCTGGGCTTCCCTCACAGCACCAACTTCGTATGGAAGGTCAGCCAATCTAATTAGCATATTACCTTTTATTATTATAGAAGATAGATATAGATCATCTGAGTAAATGCCAACAAATTAGCCTAAAGACAAAAATTTCTAAGAGAAACACTGAACCCACCAGAACTATAACAACAAACAAAAGCCCTGGACCAGATGACATCGAAGGTGAATTTTGCCAAAAAATTCAACAAGAGGGACGCCTTCCAAACATGTTTACAAGGCCATCATTACCTGAAACCACAACCAGGCAAAGGCATCACAAAAAGGAATGGTATAGGCCAATAACCCTCCAAAAAAAAAAAAAAAAAAGCAAACTGAACTCTGCAATACATTACAAAGATCATCCTTGATGTGTTCCCATACACCACAAGGTTACAGGTTCGATTCCCCGTTAGGACACATACCCAGGATTGTGGGTTCAATCCCTGATTGGGGATGTGTGCTTGAGGCAATCTATCAAGGTTTCTTTCTCACACTGATGTTTCTCACTCTCTCCCCACTTCTCCCTTCCTCCTCTCACTCTCAAATCAACAAAAATATATATTTGGGTGAGGATTAAAAACAAAACAAAACAGAAAGCCCTAGCCAGTTTGACTAAGTGCATAGGGCGTTGGCCCAGAGAATGAGTCCCATGTTCAATTCCGGTCAAGGGCAGGTACCAGTTGTTAGCTTAATCCCCTGGAGGGGGCGCATGTGGGAGGCAACCAATTGATGTATCTCCCACTCCTTTCCAATCAATGGGAAAACATTCACCGCTGAGGATTAACAAAAATAAAAAAAAAAAACAGAGAGAGATCAAACATTATGATCAAGTGGGTTTTATTCCTAAAATGCAAAGATGGTTCAATATATGCAAATCAATTAACATGATACTACAAACAAAATTGTACGATCATATCCAGTTGCAGAAAAAACACTTGACAAGATCCAACATCTAGCCCTGGCCAGTTTAGTTTAGTTAGAGCATCAGCCTGCGGACTGAAAGGTTCTAGATTACTTTACTGGTCAGTGCACATATCCAGGTTTCAGGCTGGATTCCCAGTGGGAGAATGTGGGAGGGGCGATTAGTAGTTCTCTCTCATTGATGTTTCTATCTCTCTCTCCCTCTTCCTTCCTCCCTGAAATTAAAAAATAAATAAAATTAAAATCCAATTTATTTATTTATTTATTTTGGAAAGAGAAGGAGAGGGAGAGAGAGAAGCATTATTCAGTTGCCTCCCATATGTACCCTGACTGGGAATCAAATCCACAACCTTGAAATAGAATTAGTGACCTTTTAGTTACTAGAAATACCAACTAGAGCCCAGCATCCAGTAGATTGGGAATAGAAGGAACATAATGCAACATAATGAAGGCCACACGGCAAACCAAAGGCTAACATCATACTCAAGGAAGAAATCATCAAAATTAAAAAAAAAAAAAAAGGTAAAACAGACCGTATTTGCAGGTGACATAATATACTATACATGGACAACCCTAAAGAACCCACCAAAAACAATCTATTAAAACTGACAAAATTGGTAAAATATGTACACACATAATACCTTAATAAAAAAAATTAAAAAATTAATTTTAAAAAAACCTGACAAATTAAGAAAAGTAGTGGGATGCAAAATGAATTATCAGAAATCAGATGCATTTTATATCTATAACATACTAACAGAAAGAGAAACTAATAAGAGAAAATCAAAATAAATTTAAAATAGAAAAAAAGGAATAAAAATCATTTTTAAAATTTAAGAAAATTCCATATACCACTGCATAATAAAATATCCAGGAGTAGATTTAACCATGATACTACAAGGCTGTAAATTAAAAAGCATGATACTGGCATAAAAACACATAGGACCAATTAATCTATGACAAAGGAAATAAAGAATATACAATAAAGAATATGACAAAGGAAATAAAGATAGAGAGAGTCCCTTCAATAAACGGTGTTGGAAAAATTAGAAACATGCAACAACAACAACAAAAAAAAACAAACACAAAACTGTCCTGACCGGTTTAGCTCAGTGGATAGAGCGTGGGCCTGCGGACTGAAGGGTTCCAGGTTCGATTCAGGTCAAGGGCATGTACCTCGGTTGCGGGCACATCCCCAGTGTGGGGTGTGCAGAAGGCAGCTGATCAATGTTTCTAACTCTCTATCCCTCTCCCTTCCTCTCTGTACATAAAATATATTATTAATAAAAAAATTAAGAAGAAAAACCCACAATGATTGCATAAATGAGTGGAATAACAAAACCATGTCACCATTTCCCATCCACTCTCAAGTCAGTTAACCAGGGCAACCTCCTCGGGTCTGAGTCCTCTCCCGGATGGAGTCTCCCTCTCTCCATAAAACTCTACTTTCGCTTAAAAAATAAAGCCAGTCAATGTTAACAAATTAATTAAGTTCCATAAACCCGCCCTGGCGGGAGGAGAATGCAGGCAGGGCACCCAGACTAGTTAGTAATGCAGGCGCGTCCGGGCCTCCACCCCAGTGCCCCGCAGGCACCGCGCACCCCGACTTTTCAGGTCCCATCGGCTTTCCCGGTCCCCCCAGCTTTGACGTCCCCCCCCAGCTTTCCCGGTCCCTCAGCTTTCCCGTCCCCCGGCTTTCCCGGCTCCGCGCTGACCGGTTCCACAGGCTGAACCCCCTCCCTCAGCCCGAGACACCCCATCAGGGCGCCCCACCTCCGCGCCCGCGACCAGGAGGGACCCCCGCTCCGAGCGCCTCGCGGTCCCGCCGCGGGGCCTGGGTGGCGGGAGGGGCCGGGCGCCGGCCCCGGGCTGCGGGGTCCGCAGGGGGAGCGGGGAGGCCCCGCGGGACGGCGCTCACCTCAGCCGGGCGCCTCGGCGCGGCCGCCGCCCTCGGGTCTGTGGGCGGAGCGGGGCGGCGGGGCGCGTCCGGGCCCCGGTGCGGACCCTCTCCGGCGGCGCCCCGGCCGAGCCCCAGACCCGCCTCCCTGCGGCGGACACGGCCCTTCCGACGGCTTCCCCGCCGCGGCCGCCCGGCCGCGACCCCCGCGCTCCAGAAGCGCCGCCGGGAGGAACACGCCCAACCAGCCAAAATGACCGCCGGGAGGAGGACGCCGGAAGTCCCGCCCCACGCTCGGGGCCACGCCAGGGG